GAGAGAGAGAGAGAGAGAGAGAGAGAGAGAGGAGGCTTTTCTTCCTCCCTTCGCACTCCTCTTCACCCCTCTCCCCTCGTCGTTTCCTCTTGTAATTCTCGAGCTGACGTCATCCTGTCCACCTTGAGCGTTCCGTCTTTTGCTTGTTTTGATCAACTGAAAGCTTCGTTGATTGATTTTCTTGATTTGATTAGTTGGTCGATTAATTGATTTATTGGTTGATCGGCTGCCAACTTTATTGATTGTTTGATTGACTGATTGATTGTTTGATTGTTTGATTGATTGATTGATTGATTTATTGATTGATTGATTGTGTGCTTGATTGACTGGTACTGGTGGTCGAGAGATCGATTCCGTCTAGTGCAAGCGGCCAACTTGCGAGCCGTTGATTGGTCGATCTGATTTTGATTGACGTCAACAGTCCTGTTGAGGGATCTATATTAGAGTGAGTGGTTACGATATAGTCGTGGTCGCATTTTTGTGATTGCAAACAGAAAAAAATAAAATCAATGGATGTATACATATACGGCTTCGTGGCTGGCCTTGTACGTACGAGGTTATGAACAGGTGGAGTTTTTCTTACCTCTTCTTCTCCCCCTTTTTTCTTTTCTCTTCTTTTCTTCTTCTTTTTTTCGCTTCTGCGCTCTGATTCACAGTGTGACAATATACGGCTTCGCTCCACTACTCACCAGATGTTCAAAATCAGATTGAATGTTCCGCTAGAACATGGGCAGATACATACATGTCACGTCATATTATTTTTTTTGTTTTTTGTGCATGTGGTGAGTAGCGGAGCGAGGCCCATAGTAATCACTTGATTGGTACTCCATTCTTTTTATTTTTTATTTATTATTATTATTATTTATATATATCGTCACAAACAGAACTGCCCGGTAAACCGTAGGCAGAGAGAGAGAAGAGGACAACAAACGAGGGGATGTGACAAACTGTTTCGTCGGAGTTTCACCGACTCATCAGGAGGCTGAACCCTCAACAGTCTGCAGAATCCCCTCACTGATTTATTGGTACTCCATTCGCGAAAAGGACAACAGGGCAACATGGCAACATGGCAACAGGGAGTTTAATAGACACAGATATGAACATACGGATGTGTTTGCACGGAACCGTCAATGACTGTCTGCAGTGAGTGCTCTTCGATGCGCAGAAGAGGGGAGGGGTGGTCATATTTCTCTATCACTCACAAATTATATACAACGAATAGGACCTTATGTGCTTGTCTGAGAGGGGGATGGATGGCTTGCACGCGTACACATGTCTGGACATACAGTATCTACAAAATGTACCTGGATGTCTCTTTGGTCCAATGCATTCAAAATTTTGGATCAGTCAGAATGTATCCGGTAGGAAAAAGCTGTCCAGAAACGTGGTCGAAAAAATGTTGAGCACTGGAGTGAGGCCCTATGCCTGGCCTGTCCTGGCCGTATTTTTTGTAAATACCCCTCACGTGTATCAGAATTTGTTGGGCGGAAGCCCACGGTGGACACTGGGTATATCCCAGACCGATTGTTTTTGCTCCGGGTTGTTTGTGAGGAATTCCCGGCCTCATTGTTTTTATAATGAATTCCTTGCTTTTTCCCAAAAAAAAAAAAAAAAAGAATTTGCATGTCGGGGGTTCGAATGCCTCTCTTCCGCTAGTCGTCTGTCCTGGCCATATTTGCAAATACCCCTCTTACTGGCCATATTTGTCAAATACCCCTCTTACTGACCATATTTGTCAAATACCCCTCTTACGTGTTTCCTTCTTTTAACATGGGCACGCCTCTTCCTATTTCATGTGTGGTCCTTTCAAAGGACATTCATTTTAAAAATTGGAACGACTCGGAGAAAAAAAGAGTAGCATGACCCCTGAGCAAGGATGACACGCATAAATCGAGAAATGGTACAAATAGAAAGAAATATACAGTGGGTGGTCCCCACCACCTCAGGGTATCAGTTGTAGGGCAGTCGTTGATGCTTAACCACAGCCGGGGTTAAGGTGGATTATCACTTACAGTGTAATCAGTTAGGTAGGGGATTCTGCAGACTGTTTTTGAGGGTTCAGCCTCTACTGATTGATGAGTCGGTGGAACAGTCCGACGAAACAGTTTGTCACAGCCCCCCCTCGTTTCTTGTCCTCTTCTCCCTCTTGTCCCTCTCTGCCACCTACGGTTTACCGGGCAGCTCTCTGTTTGACAATATACTATTATGTTCGGTCTATGTCTATCTCGGCGAGCGTAGTGTAGCGGTGCTTTCATGTGGGACCAGTCATCTGGGTTCTCTTTTATTGTCTTGGGGTCCTAGTTGGTTGCTTCCCGTTGTTCGGCCTGTGTGTGAGGGGGAGGTGCTTTTAGGTGGGAATCGTCATCTGGGATTGTCGTCATCTGGGATTGTCTTTTGTGTTTTTTGTCCCTGTAAGAATGGTTTACAAATGGGAATAATACCCACGTCTTGATGACGAACAAGGCCATCTGCTGTATATAGATATGTAATCTGGGATTTTTTTTTTTTTTTTTTTTTTGCAGACAAGATTGTTGTCCTGGGTGGTCTTGTCCTGGCGTTTGGCCTGTGAAGGAGGGAGGGGCGGTGCTTGCATGTGGGACTTGTCATCTAGGATCCGTTTTGGTGCTATTGCTTGTTGCCCCCT